CGGCCCACGGGTCGGGTCGGGTCGGGTCTGGGCTCGGGCTCGGGCAGAGAATCTAAACTCTACATACCTTAGATCAGGGTTATTCAACTCACGGCCCTCAAGGTCCGAGCCCTGCTGGTTTTCCAGCCTTCCTTTACCTGTGAGCTGGGTGAGAAGCCTCCAGCCAATCAGAATCAGTAATTATTAAACTAACTACCTGGGAGAACTGAAAACAAGGCCTGGATTTGTAATCGAGGTTTAGATTTGAAGAGCCCTGCTCTAAATAAATGTCTTCAACCTGTTCCTGCATTTGCGCTCACAGCACTTCAACTCAAGGACCTGCCAGCTAGTCCTGGGGGCTGGGGCGCTACAGGTCGTGGGACTCAAGACCATCACTACAAAAAACCTCGGTACAGTATGGACAACAGGGGGTGCTGTTTCACTGTCTAATGTTGAGAGTGAAGGTCTGGAAAACCCATGGTGGCACAGTCAGGCACAGGCTGCTTTAGGCCACACCTCTTTTCATTTAAACTTTTCTGTTCCCTGTGATTGAAGGGGTGAGGTAACCCCGCCCACCATACGTCTCACATGTCATTTTTTCCATGATTAACAGCACTGTTTGTATGCAGATTGTCTGCTGATACATTCAAATATCTAAGTACTGCAGGTAATTAGTCTGATAACCAGCTGTAAATGGTATAGTTAACCTATTTTACAGTGATTAACCGCTGGCCATAAAGGTGTAAAACAGAGGATTTTCTTTTTTATGACTGGAAAGAACTGATGTATGTATGTGTATATATATGTGTGTGTGTGTGTGTGTGTGTGTGTGTGTGTGTGTGTGTGTGTGTGTGTATATCGAATGTGTTGTATCGAATATCTGACTTTATCCTGCAGAGTGTAAAAGGGTTGACGCAAGTTAAGAAATGTTACGATTCAGTGATTCAGCTGGTGTAAGAGCGTGGTTCCCCGTGCCGGTTGTCAGGTAGCCAGTGTAAGAGCGTGGTTCCCCGTGCCGGTTGTCAGGTAGCCAGTGTGAGAGCGCGGTTCCCCGTGCCGGTTCTCAGGTAGCCGGTATGAGAGCGCGGTTCCCCGTGCCGGTTGTCAGGTAGCCAGTGTGAGAGCGCGGTTCCCCGTGCCGGTTCTCAGGTAGCCCGTGTGAGAGTGCGGTTCCCCGTGCCGGTTCTCAGGTAGCCCGTGTGAGAGCGCGGTTCCCCGTGTGCGATCCCAGGCCACTTACACTCGCCATGTCCCTGCAGCTCTCGCCTCCCGCTGCCTGCAGCTGGTACTGCACTATATCCCCATCATCAGGGCCCACTTCGAGACCAAGCTGCAGCCCAAGCAGTATAACATCCTCAGGCACTTCGACCACATCACCAAGGTGAGCCGCACATGCCTGCTGTGGTCACTCAACCTTCCAGAAACGCTGCTGCTGATGCACTGTGTTCTTGTGTCGTAAGATTTAGCAGAATCTGAGACGTGATGCATCCTGGGAGTCTGGCTTTGATATTTATCTATGAATTTGCGTGCTGGATACTTAGAACAGCCGCTTATCCCGAGCCAGTTTCCGGACTCCGTACTCGGAGATGACCGTCACCCTGGAAGCACCGGTGCCGTTAGGGTGTGCTGCCAGGTGGCTGCCAGGTGGCACTATTGATTAACCTCCACTGCCTCTCTCCTAACAGGACTACAGTGATCACATAGCAGAGATCTTGGCTAAGCTGGTAGCAATCATGGATAGCCTGTTTGAGAAGGCACTGTCTAAGGTAAACCTGCATCCTCAAACCTTGATGCTCAGAGGTAGCGGTGATTCCCTGCATTAATAATTAATGCGGTCCGGCCTTGAAATCCCTCTTCATTTTGGACAGTATGAAGTGAAGGCCCCCATGCCTTCTGGGTGCTTCCGGACCCTGTGTAAGCAGCTGGGCAAGATGCATGAAGCGATCTCTGACCTGTTACCTGAGGAACAGACGCAGGTATGCCTGCCCGTCTCCGCTGCCCCCACCCACCGACACGCTTGTAGATACCGGCCGCTTAGCGCACCATCCTGAGGAATGTGACTTGCCGGACTTTCTCCTGTTTACCGGATAGATGTTGTTCCTGAGGATCAACGCGAGCTTTAAACTGCATCTGAAGAGGCAGCTGGCCCGCCTGAACGTCAGCAACGATGGAGGCCCCCAGCACGGGTCCGTATCACTGTTTGCTGGCTCGCCTGTAGGGGGCGCATGTCACCTTCTATACCATAATAAGGAGTAGCTGCCACACGGTTATATTGCATTGCTGGGAAAAGGCTGGAATTTAGATTCCTGATTTAATTATATATATCTGTCTGTGTTTTAAAGGACCTACAGTTTCTTGTCAGTGAAGCCCTCCCCTCTGCCTTGTGCTCTTTGCAGGCTAGTCATGGTGGATATCGCCTTTTATACCGGTAATGTCCAAGCACTGAAGTCACTTGAAAAGCTCGACTTGAACTTGGCAGAGATTTGGGAGCAGAAGAGGTGATGGAGGCGGCAGAGGTCTCGCCCTGCTGGGGGGGAGGCAGCTAGGGGGGGGTGGAGCACTCCATGACTCAGGGCTCACTCTCACCATGTCCAAATGACGTGCACCATGCCCCCCCCCACCCCCAGCCTGGGACACTGGGCCGTGTGAGCATCTGCCTGACTTGTTGGAGCAGCGAGGGTGCTGCGGATTCTGACCTCGACTGCAGTTGCTCAAGTGGACCAAACCTGAACACACTTCTTTGGGGGGGGGGACGTGCCTATTCAGGCCACTATTACTGTATCTCAATGTGCAATTGGTCTGAGATGAGCAGTAGATGTGACAGGGGGAACGGCCTGATCATGGTTCAGTCACAGGTGAAGGCTTGTGGCCAGCGATTGACCATACTGGTGGCTGTAGCATTTCGCTTTGTTCCATTTAAACCCAAAACGACAAAGTGGGAAAAACGAGTGCCGCTTCGTGGTGTCGAACTGGACATAAATGTAAAAAGGTTTAAATCTTATGATATATTTGTATGAATCCTGGGGTTTGAGTATTTGTGAAAACTCTTGGTCTCTCATCTTCTGGTTTGGCAGAAGGAATTTCTTTTGCAGAATCTGCTTCTTTAGTTTACATTTTGAATTCTGGTTTTAACTCTGGTTTTAAAGTTCTCTCCTTTGGAATCGCACATTTTACCAGTATTCCACAATGTAAAGGGAAAAGTGTGAATGGAAGTAACTGCATTGTTATGCCTTCCTTTTGAGGGTCTTCCCTTAAACGCCTGCTGTATGTCAGGTTTTAGCTATGTGTGAGCATTTCTAACTGGTCCCAGTGCCCGGAAAACCTGGGCGTTATTGCGTTCACACAGGGTCGTTTTTGTGGATGACTGAAAGCCCCTTTGTACCTCAGACCATGTGCTGGTTTGGTCTGATTTCCCTGAAGATGTAGAATACTAGTATTACTACAGTCATGGACTTCAAAGTGGAGTAAAATTGCATAAGATGGGGGGGGGTGGGGGAGGAATGTGGTCACATTTAATGGGTGAGACACAGATGGGGACCCTGACTGCTATTGGGACTGCGGGGTCTTCGGAGTAGCTGGTGGAGGTTGACTGTCCTCATTGTGATAAGGTTCAAGCTAGGAACTGTGGTTCTCTGTGTGCTAGACCAAAATAAGCAGTAGGTCTCCCTCAAAACTTGAATCGAGATCTTTTTCCTGCTGAAGTGAACCCTGCTCTTTGTACGCATGTATGCATACCCTGGCACGGTGTAAGGAAAACTGTCTAAATAAGAAACTCTGCTTTAAGGGTACTCTCTCACCACCTTCAAAGGGGACTGTTTTGTATCAAACATGCAGTACTGATTACCAGTGCTGTACGATTCACTGCTAGCTCAGAAGTGCCTACTTTTGATAAATATCGGATAAATATCTCTTCTGACAGTGCATATTCCGTCTCGAGTGCCTAACAGGCTTCCTCCCAAGGGAACTGGGCCTTCCTGGCCCAGCAAAGACAAACCAACTAATCAGACTGCATGCCTGAGAGTTTTAAGCCTCCTGAAACCCAAACCATCTATCTCAATAAAATTGGTCATGAAAGTGAAATGCTGTTATCCTATGTCATTGATAGGGTGAGCAGGCTGATTCCTGCATCCAACCAGAGCTGCATGTCCTCTTACTAAGTTCATTTGGTGCCTGTAACCAGACCAACTGCAGGAGCAGGCGGCTATGTGGCCGATGGCTGAATTTCAAGAGCGCTTGGGGGTCATTGAGAAGTAGCCCAGAAAAGGAGCTGTTGCTGTAGTATCCCACAGAGGACTGGCCATTGACTCGCCTTCCAAAGAAATCATTCTATTCTTCTGCTGAATAGGGAACCCAATGCACGGCCCCACGCTGAGACAAACGGGATTGTAGCCTGGGGAGATGCTTAACCGTTTCATTCATGAGTGCATGCCACCTCAAAAAGACACACATGTTGTATCTCTATTGCACTTTAATCAACACTGAGACCAACAATCCGGAGTAGATAGTAGCTGGATACATGTGCCAAACACAATGGCTGCCCAACACCTTTGGCTGCATTTATAAGAATACATTAAGTATGTGTTTCACAGTAGTACTGATTTTCTTCCCCATAGCAGTCTGGGGTCTTTCAGAGTCATGTGACTGAAGCAGTGGGGGGTCAAAGGCCTCAGTGGTCGAGGATGCGCAAGTTGCCTGATACGATCTTGTTCTCCAGCATAGCGCCTGCCGGAATGTCGATTCGGTCTCCGTGATTGGCTATGATGATAACTGTTCCCTGGAGGGAGATGGAGAGCAATTATTGGACGGAAGTATAATTGCTACCAACAAGTTCGACGTTCTGAATCCTCACCTTCAAAGAAACCTGCTTTCCAAAGGTGACATCTCCAGAAACAGTCAGGTGGTCTAGTTCCAGCATATCTGGTATACTCTCGAATCTCATGAGGAAGTCGTGAACCTGCAGATCGACACGATAGTCTGCCAAGATCTCTCAGCAAACAGTTTAAATCAGAGCATACACAACTTGTGCTCAAACCTCCTAATTAACGGAACACAAAATAAAGGCAGTCCCAATATTTACAATCACTATTTACTTTTTGTTACCAAAGTAATGGGGAGCAGCTTTTCTGCTGAGTGCTGGCCCTTATAATTAAGCCAGAGTGTAATGAGGGGTGTCTAATTATATGGAGACCGAAGGCTTAGGAGGTAAAGTCACATGACATGAGTGAGCCCATCTATTGGCTCCCATAAGCAGTGCTGGGATGGGATAAAACAAAAGTGCAGAAAAGCTTACCGTTGAACGTCGGAAGCAAATGATTATCAGCAAAAGTGCTCACAACACTAACAGGATAAAAGCGGAAGGGGGGAATAAGGATTAACTTCAATAGAAGTGTGCTGAGAAGATATAGCTAGTTTAGTCTTTTTTCCCCGATGGCTGAAATGGAACATTCCGTATGAGCGCCAGACGCACGTTTACACCGATTTTGCTTCTGCAAGCGTGATGGCACCCTCGATGGGGGGGGGGGGCCTCTTTGCTCTTCCTGGCATGCAAGCTTGCTCTTTGTGTCTATTCATCATTCAGCATCAGAAAGCCCACCCAAAGAGAAGAAGCTCAACCTTCCAGAAACGGCAACATTCTACACAGTCGGTCCATTTGAAAGCTAAGAATACAAATCAGCACTGAAGTCAATCCGAGGTGTCCCAAGAAAAAGCACCGTGGAATAGATCTTAAAGTCTTTAGTTACATTCATCCATCATCCATGATTGCATATCCAATATAGGGTTTCTGTGATGACCTACAGTCTATCCCAGCAAGCATTTGGTTAGAAGGCTGGGGACACCTTAGACCAGGGGCATCAGACTCCAGTCCTGGGGGGTCGGAGCCCTGCACATATTTTGGTTTCCCCTCATTTAACTCACCTGATTCAACTCCTTGTGCTAATTATCACACAGCTCTTGAGCTGAATCATTTGTGTGGGAACAGGGAAAGAACTAAGCTACACAGGGCTCCGGCCCCCCAAGAATGGAGTTTGACACCCTGCCTTAGACCATCCATCCATCTATCTATTTTCAGTACCTGCTTGTCTTATTCAGGGTCCAGATCCTAAGCCGAAAGCTATTGGTGCAAGGCAGGGAACAGCCCAGGGGCACCAACTCATTGCAGGGCACACTCACACAACATTCACTTACACATGCACACCTAGGGTCAATGCCGCATCTCCAATTAACCATAGCATGTGTTTGGACTGTGGGGGGAAACCGGAGTCCCTGGAGGAAACCCCACGACGACATGGGGAGAACATGCAAACTCCATACACGTGGAGCCAAGGCGGAGACTAATCCTAACTGCATATTTTTGGATTTCAGGAAGGAACTGGACCAGAGAAACATGCTAAGTCCCTCAAACCCCAAACAGGACATGAGGGAATAGTGCTACCCAACCCACTGCCCTATTCTTGAATTGCATGTGTAATAAAAGCTCCAATGGGAATCTACTCTACACACTCTTCCGTGGGAGAGCAGAGGATTGTCCTATACCTTGGTGAAGGAGCTTCCCAGCTTGACATGGGGTGTTGTGGGGAACTCCCTCTTCTTGCTCATGGTGAGCGAGCCAGCATCCAACGTGTAGAGGTTGGACATGACCAGCAGCAGGTCCGAGGTGGTCTTGACGGGCAGGAAGCGGCTGCGTGGGACGTTGATGCCCAGCGCGTTGTCGAAGCTCTTGATGGCTGCTCCAACCGCCGTCTCCAGCTGGATGATGTTGAGTCCGCCGTTCAGAGTCTGGTCACACGAGGGGAAGGACAGCCATCAGCACAAGCTCAGACAGGAGAACAGCATTGACCAAGCCTACATTTTCATTACAGCGCTTACACGGGATAATTCCCCTTCTCAAACCTCAATATAAACACAGCATTGTTACCAATGGCAGGAACAAGGCTTCATAACAGTACCACTTGCTGGGTATGTGTATGCTAAAGTATGCCAACATCAGTGATTAACTACCCAATGAAGCTCTACACTCTAAGCAAAAGAAAGTAAGATTCAGTACAGCAGGGCTATTCAACTCAAGGGCCGAGCCCTGCTGATTTTCCAGCCTTCCTTCACCTGTGAGCCAGGTGTGAAGCCTCTGACCAATCAGAATCAGTAATTATTAAACTAACTACCTGGGAGAACTGAAAACAAGGCCTGGATTTGGAATCGAGGGCCTAAATTGAATAGACCTTCAGTACAGGATGCTTGATGATTAACCTGGGAAATATTAAGAACATTCTCACTTCAAGACTCATATTGAAGTTGGAATCCCACAGTGAATACAAGACCATAAAAGTAGCTGGAGAAACTGCATCTACACAGTAAATAGTCACTCGAGAGGGGAAAACTACAAGTACAAGGCACTGTGCAGGTATTAGCTAGCATTAATTTGTTCAGCTAGGATTTATTAAAAAGGGAGTCACTTGTCCTGATTGCAGTAATAGCTAACCTTTATCTGTTTGTTTCCACACATCCATGCACATCCATGGATTCAGAGTCCTGGCATGCAAAGAACAGGCCCAGCCACCATCCAGTGCCCTAGTTCTTACCTTAGGGTTCACAATGATCTCCATGTCCATGCAGTTCTTCTCCTGCAGCCTCTTGATTGCAGGTAGGGAGATCCACAGGTTGTTGGTGTTGAAGATCTTGAACTTGGTGACAGATTTGAACTCATCCACATGGGCCTTGGGCACCTGTGCTATCTCCAACAGCCTGAGCTTGCCGTCGTACTCGATCAGCGTCCCACCCTAAGTGTGAAGATTTCAGCATCGATAACCATTTTCTCTGAAGGTCTACATCAGTAACTAATAAAGGACCAAACATCAGGTCTTGAAGATGATTGTCAGCGGCAGGATTAGCCTACCTTGACGTCGGCCCGTGTCTTGTCGGTGACCTCCATAACGAACTCGCATCGCTTGCCATTCGGCTGGCTCATCAGGTGGTGCAGGATGTGCAAATCCACCGTGGCCCCCAGATTGTCAATGTTGGACACAAAGATATACTCTTTGCCCTCGGCGATCAGCTGGTCCAGCAAGCCCGAGTTGTAGAAGCTGGCGTAGATGTCACCGTGACCAGGGGGGTACCAGGCCTCTGCGTTCTCCCCTGATAAACCCATGTCCTTCGCCACCGGGAGGAGGGACTCCTTGTTGATCCTCGGGTACCTAGGTGGGAACTAGGTTGACTGAATTGTGCCTAAAATACTCAATTTAGGCAGTTTTCTGGTGACTATTTAATAACAAAATCAGGAAATGCATCCTTAAGAACAGAAGTAAAACTCCAATGTGGCATCATGTAAGTGCACAAGATTGAGCCAGCGGCAGACTATCTGACAATGATCAGACAAAGACAGTGTCTTGGGTGACACTCTTCTGCATCAGCCTGTTGTGATCCTGCCATCGTGTTACATAGTACAGGCCTGTCACCCTTCACTGCGGATTCTGCTACATTCTCCACCGTTCATCCTACCTTTTATTTTGCCTTAGCAGTCATGTAAGCCGCTCTGGAAAAGAGCATTTACTACATGAATAAATGCAAAAGCACTGGCAGGCAGACATCAGACATCCTCATATATTTCAGGACTATGAGCAGACCATGAGCTTGATTTCCTGAAGCGGACGGAATACTGCCAGAGGTATCCAGCGCGTTCGGAAACCCCAGCAGCACATCACAGGCAGAATCTCGAAGGATGCTACATTACCAGCTGCTAATGATTTAAACTGTACCTCCTTACCCCGATAAAACCTCTACAAATATACCATAGCTACAGCCCTTAACATCTGCCCTTGAGAACACTCACCTCTCAGATAATCCAATCAAATTGCACCCTTCAAATCAGAGCCATTGATATGATTTCCTATCGCAGAGGCAATCAAACTAAGTGCATTATACTCCTTTGACGGCTACATATTAATAGGTTTCATTAACCTCCAAAAGCAATGCTGCCATAGATTTTCCCGCTGTATGTCAATACTGTTACAGGCATACGGTCTCCATCCAGTGCATTAGAACATCAGAGAACAGCTGGATGCTGCAGACACACGGCTCTGCTGTTCCATGAACTCACAGTAAAGCCAAAGCATCAACTACAGCCCTGACAAGGACAAAGATGTCTGATATTTAGGAAGTCGCATGTAAAAATGATCATTTTTAAAATAATGAGAAAATATGGAAGAAGTCAACAGTAACTCGACACTGCCTGACCTGGAAAAGCCGAATAACTGCACCATCAATCGTAACCATAAACAAGTGACGTACGCGCCTCCTCCGGACAGGTGCAGAGGAACACATTGTTCCTTTTGACCCTATATGCTGCAGGTTCAAACCCTGTCTGAGAGTGGAGTTTGCTCCCATGTTTGCATAGGTACCCTCAGGGAGTACCCAGTGCTCATGCAGTCCAAATACATGCGGGTGAGTGAGTGTGTGTGTGTGTGTGTGTGACATGCATATTACAGTGTGGGGACCAAATGTCCCACAATGTAATAAAAACCTGATATTTTGACGTTATGGGGACCACTACTCCAGTCGCCACAAGGGGATACTCAAATTTAAAAAAAATCTGTGAATGCAATCAAAACACTAAAAATTCCAAAAGTCTTGTATGTTGTTTGGTTACATACGGTTAGGGTTGGGTGGGGGTTAAGAGTTGTCGTCCCTGGGATTAGGGTTTTACCCATAAAAATGAATGAATGGTTATAAAGTGGAACATGGTGTGGTAGAGACCAGAGACTAATGAACATAGTGTGGTAGAGACCAGAACCACAGCGAACAAGGTGTAGTAGATCTAAGAAACAGAGTGAACAAGATGCAATAGTGACCAGAACTGGGTCTGCAATGAATGAAGCAGCACAGAGCAGTGACTTATGTCAGGGTTCCCCAATTCTGCTCCTGGAGGCCAGAATACAACAATTTGCAGATTTACCTGCTCAAACACACCGTAATCAGCTAATTACCAGGGTTAGTGGGTGTGTATGAACAGCGAGATCTGAAAACTGTGTTGGATTCTGGCCCTCCAGGTGCGGAATTGGGGAACCATGACTTATATCACGCGCTGCCTTCTAAGGAGTGTAAGGGGGGTGAGGAAGAGAGGGCAGCCCATACCTGCTCTGGTTAAAGGTGTGGATCTTCACCCGGTGATGTGCATACTTCTGCAGGATCTTCTTGGTGTCCTCATCCGTGTTGAACGAGTTCATCAACACTAGAGGCACCTCTACATTGAAGGTTTTGTTCAGGTGCTGAAAAAAAAGATGGACAGGGACCAGTTTTCCGGAAGGCTTAGTCACCTAAGGCCACGTCAGACCTGGAAACCCCAGTCAAACCAGCTGGAAAGACAGGAGGCCCAGGGTCCTATACATCCTCCTTCTGGAGGCAGTCGGTCAACCTGGGCAAGGCCACAGGCACCCTGAAGACAGCGGCCTGCCCAGGCAAGACCCCAGCCCTGCAAAGGCTGCAGAGGCCGGCTGCGCAACATGCCTTTCTGCAAACAGCACCTAAAACCAAGCGGACATCTGCTCCGTTTTCCCAGGAAGAGATAAATAAATCCATGTGTCTAAGCTTTAGCCAGTGAACGGTGGGGGGCATGGGGCTCTGTTTTGGAGGACAGGGAGGGCTGCTTTTCTGCTGCCATGGAAACCTGCGTTAAGGGGCTCTTCGCTCCCAGAACTCCGACCAGGCTGAATGGATGTTAATAGAAACCCGATACTGAGCCTCTTTGTTGAGCTATTTCAGCCGTAACACAAACAGCGACACCAATGAAGAGGTAAAAGGTGCATTTCAACCCATCCAACTCATACACAAGTCTGCAGTTCGCTAACACAAGTCACTAACCAGCATATTAGCATGACTTTCAGGATAATCTGTGTGACCCGATTATGTTTCTGTCAAAACCAAGTTCATGGCCATCTTTCAGCCTGTCACTGGCTGTCACCACAGCATCCTTCACCGGGAAGAGACCCAAAAGTGGCGGATGGGTCGCGTCAGCCAGCCTACCTCGATCTGCTGCACGGTCAGGTCCAGGAAGGTGTTCTCGTTGCGCACACTGATGAGGCTCTTGGGCCCTTTGCAGCCCATGCTGGTGCCCAGGCCGCCATTGAGCTTGACCACCACAAGCTTGGTCAGGCTAGCCGCCACGCTGTCCAGCAGCCCCCGCGCCTTGATCTTCTCATAGGGCTGGATCTGCGGGGTGGGAGGGGCCAGACGGGGTCACTCGTGGCATACGGCGTTCTGACAACATGCCGTTACGATAACCGGAGGGCAGGATGGAGATGAAGGCTGTTTAATTTCCACACTCTGAAATGCTACTGCAATGCGGGACAACATCCAATCATAAACCTTAAAGGATAATTACTGCAAAACCACGATACTCATGCTAGACAAAAGGGGAATTAGTTAGTAACACCAGCACAAGTACCACATCTGATATTCGTGTGTGTGTGTGTCTATGTATACATACATACATACATACATACATACATACACACACACACACACACACACACACACACACACACACACATTTCTGTTACTTGCAAGAGATCTGATAAATATACTTCCACCCCCTGGAGTCAGACTGACTTGGCATAATGCCCCCCCCACCATAGAGATAGACAGCCTGTACTCATTGCAGTGACTCTGCCTGAGGGGGGGGTGATTTGAATACAAATCAGGTGGTGTTCCCTGTGTGTCCTGTCTGAGCTCACTCCTCAGCCCCCGCAGGAGGGGCCACTCAGGCTCCAGCTCACGACTCGCCCAAACGCTCCCTCCCCCCCCACACTCAGGAGGTGCAGTCGCAGTCATGTCACGGAGATGCGTCCCGAATGGTCGACAGACTTGATCTTCATGCTTCCCCAACTGGGCCGTCGACCGCGAGGCCACTTGTAGGGATGTGACACTAACGGTCTCGTCTGCCCCCCAGTACTGACAGAATCAGAGCCCCCGCTCCATACCATATGTGGTGAATCCCTAATTAAACAGCGTTAAAATCCCACGATTCCATGCTTCATATTTGCTTACCTGATATTAGAGGGGAACGGGGATAACAACGAACCGAGAAACCACCCACAGCGACAGCAGACAGAATGGGGGGGGGGGGGGCTCTGGCAGTGAGGCAGCAGCACTGCACACTGGAGATGACCTGACTGCTGCCCCGAATCAAACCTCGACATTTCTGCCACCTTCCAGAAGAGGCACACTGGCCTCTGGGCCCAGCCGCACACTGCGTTCTGACGCTTATTCCATACGCCGGAGTTCGATACGCCGGCACTGCCACCGGAACCATAAATAACATAGAACAAACAGCTGAAGCACGGCCAGGCTGCCCAGGATGCCTGGTTAAAGCTGGCCCCTTAGCACAACGTTTAAAAAGCTAAAAAAAATGAAGCAAAACATACAAAAGTCATTAAATCAAAATCAACCACTAGCCCATTTCAGCCATTTCTGAGTTGGATTTAACATCTGGATTTAACTAGAAACATTACCTAAAACACCAGGAATCCATAACTGTGAACCACTCCCCATGCAACGAAACTATTACCCCAAACAAGGATACAAATAACTGCCTTTCCAAGGGGTTTTATAATTAACTTACAAAACAGAGGGTCCCAAACACAACAACTTCAATTCTCTAATAAAAACAATTGCATCAAGCAGCTTAAATAAATCAAGTATAATTGTCCTAGGAACGGAGATTCTCCTCTTCCCGTGCTTTTCATTCGTACCAAGGATAACACAAGCTTTTAAAGAGGAAAAACACAAATAAATGAAGGCATCTTAAATCGTGCCTGATCAGCTGAAGCAAAAACCAGCAGAAGGAATACTTAGCAGGCTATGCAGGTAAACAGAAGAGGGGCATCGTGGGAAACAGAGACTGAGATATACAAGAATTTCACATGTATCTCTGATGATATCCTGCATCTGTGCATGGGCTCGCACAGGTCTGATGAAGTGCCATGACCTCAGAAATTAGAGTCACTCCATGCAGAGTTAACTTTCTCCCATTTCCATCCATTAGTGACGTCTGACAGAGTTCTAGCCTAACAGAAGCATTCAAAACGAGACCGGCGATTGCTCCATAGCTCCTGTGTTTGACATTTCGTAACGGTTCAGGGTATACATGGTGTAACATTGAATGCGGTGCTTGTTCACGGTGTGGGCTTCCATTACACAGAGAAGAAGGACAGCCTTACTTCTGATGAGTCACTGATCACAACTGTAGGAACGTTGGGCAACAGGAAAGGGTGGCGTCTTCAGAGCAGGGACCTCTACAGTGTTCAGAGTGACCCAGTCACAGGCTCAAGGGACTGAGGCACAGAAGTGGGCAGTAGGTAAGGAAATGTAGCGACGCCCCTCCCTGGAGACCCTGTGCGACTGACCAATGCCGTTTCCAGGTGGCTGCGCTCAAGCTGCTCCGCTCAGGAAAAACAGCTTCAGCCTTAGAGTCCCGGGAGATTCTGGTATTTATGCTACGCCGACAGGCTCACGGCTGAAAGGTCGTTACTGGAAGTCACATGACATTCCAGATGTCCAACTGCTGCCGGCGCAGCTCATAAATAGTCATGCAAGCATATAATTGGTGCTTCTCCAGGGTTTCTGTGGTAAATTTAGTTTATGTTTGTATAACACAGGAGAGTCATTAGCAGCCTGTTTCACTTTTCGGCTCGGTCCTAAGCGGGCTGGTGAATATAAGTGTTGTACCAAATTCTGACGGTTAAGGGGCGGCTTTACACTTTAAAAGGGCAGACAGCTAATCACAGTGAAGATGAATAAGTTAATAGGCCTCTTGTTTGGCCAGAGCATCGCTGTATGTAATTACATAAGTGTTTAAAAGACAAGTACAACAAACAGATGATATTAGGGAGTGTAGCTAATACAGGCCTGCCGCTGGAGATGTTACAACGTGAAGCCCGTGGTAGAGCTTCCTGGAATCTGCAGCTCTTAGTCAAGGTCAAGGTCAAGGTCGGCATCATTAAACCGCTAATGTTGCTAATGCTAAAAGAAAAATTCATACAACCTCTGAGTAGGACGGCGCATCAGAGGAAAAATATCACAATGAAGAAACTCACAGCCCTGCATCGCTGATCCACGCTTGTAAACGATGAAAAGAAAATCCACGCAATAGGGGGAAGGGCTGCTTTGGGCAGACCGTGAGGGGGGGGGGGGGGCTAGCTCACCACAGAGGACAAGCAGAGGACAAGTCCAGAATGTCGACATGGACGCTGCCCCTGTTTCCCCACCCCCCAAACGTCCATACATGCCTCTACCCGTTACCGCGAGAGGAGACCACGAAAGCCTCTGAGGATTAGATGGATCGCTCCATGCAGCTGGCAGAGCTCGGCTATCCTGAGTCAGACCAGCGCAGGGCCTGCAGCCAAATCCCTCACAATCAGCCTGTGTGCAGCAGAACACCCCCCCCCCCCCCCCCGAGAGCCCCACCCCAGCAGACGTGGCCCATGAGAAGCCCAGCGGCCAGGACAACCTCCTGCTCAGAAACGCTGCCTCAGGGAGGTGCTTTGACCGCTAACAGTTAAATGAGACTCAGACTAGCCGGCCGGCTCAGTCCCCTCCAGGTCTCAGTCACACAGTACTTGGAGACCAACAGTCACATAGTAAAACAAAACCACATGGAGGACAACACAGCCCCGTTGCCAGGAAGCACGCAGACTCATCTGTCCATCCAACCTACCCTCCAAGCTTTTAACCTTCTCCAGTTTCCTGCTCTGCTAGAAGCCACAGACCGTAGATACGGGTGTGAAAACTGCATTCCGGGCCCAGGAGTCGGCCGACGGTCTCGTTCGGGACACCACAGGGAGTATATGCTGGCACCACATTACCCAGCTTGCTCACTTACTGCTAAAGGGTAAAGCTAAGCATTAACCAACAAATCATGTTGTGCTGTTCGTGACTCATGATGCATCCTTTTTTCTATGCTTTATTGATACCTGTGGGGTATCGATCTCTCTGTTAGGCTACCCCATCTTGCTCTCCATGACACACAGACGCATACGTGGCTGAGAGGAAGCTCAGCAGCCACTGGCTGGGGGTTAAGGGCCTCGCTCAAGTGCCTGTGGACGTGACTACTCTGCTGCGAGCGGGGCTTGAACCGGCGACCTTCTGATCACGCACACAGAGGCTTAGCCTGCTGAGTCACATCCTGCTCCTCTCCATTTAGGAGGAAAATCCTAACCTAAAGTAAGCCTGGCTCCATGATAAGATTTTTCAGGTTCCATTATTTAATTGCAGCTGTAGATCGTAGGCTTGCCCAAGGCAAGCTTTAACACCAGCGCCCCCTGTCTGTGACATAGTGAAATTGCCCCTCAGAAGATGGCGCCCAGGTGGTCAGTGGCACGTGTCGCCCACTGGATTGACCCACTCTGATGATACAAAAACGAAGACTGTGGGATTTAATCTGGAGGATCAGACTGTTTTAAAGAGAGCTTTGCTAAAAAGATAGAAATTCCGAACCAAGCTTTTAAAAAAAAAAAAAAAAGTTTAAAAATAATGTTATAAAAACAAGGATGAAAAAAGGGGAACCCAGACAACAGCAATTTGGCCTATTTTCAAGATACCGCATGATATGCTTTGCTTAGTCGGTGAAGACAAGAGAACATGCAAATGGCCACACAAGGACCAGGAGGTGGGATGGGGGGGGGGGGGGGGGGGGGGGGGGTGACAGTAACTGATCCGTTACTCTGTCATCACACACCCTACCATCCTTTCAACAGTTCCCCTACAGCGGGTTCAATCGAGAGGGGCGATGTGACATTTCAAAGCTTTAGACCTCATATGGCATTTAGTAGGGGACACGCTCTGAAAGCAAATGCCACTTGGTGGCGCTGTTTGAATCACAGCAGCGACTAAGGCACAAACTTGAACAGCATTGATCTGAAGAGAATACTCTACAGTCAGAGCAGCAAATCTGTAAGCCTGTTTTGTGCAGCTCCATGTAACTGAAAAGCTGAACTGGGGGATTCACGAAAACAGCCCGGGTCTCTTTCTGAGGCCGAGAACCTTTTACACGACCATCTAGCCCCCAGCATCTAGGTCCAGACCTGAAAATAAAAGCAGCCCCCTTTTCCGCAAAGATCAGAGGTGATGTCATCACCCCTCCAGCTTCCTGAGCTTGTTGGTGAGCCAGAGAGGGCATTGGAGGTCACAGTGTCACAGCGTCACAGCCGCCTCTGCATACCAGAGAAGGGTCAGGCTAATAATAGGGTATCTACATGTACAGATGATTATCGGGGGGGGGGGGGGACACTGAAATGTCACACAGCTCCCTGGCCCCTCCCCCCCCCCCCCCGCCCCCACATTCTGCTCTCCTCGCTTAGTTATGTTCTCGCAGTTACACAACACAGGTACGTGCACAGCATGACCCCAGCTCAGAGACGCTGAAATCTGCACTCGTTCTCGAGGTCGCCGGTCATGTGATCACGGCGATCATGTGGTCACGTGCCGCGCTTAAGATCTCGTCTTACCGCCCGCTCTCCCTCCTCTCGCTCTCCCCGTCAGTAACCCGCACACTCACAGCCTCCACACTCTCCTTTCAGACGTGTTCCCTTCAGCTGGGGCAGAGCAGGAAACCTGAGACCGTCTCAGTGTGTCCCTGCGGTGCGGCCGGACTGAAGAGCCTCTGTTGGCTCACCGGCTCCGCATCACTGCCAGAAGAGGCCTGGCTCTCCAGAAACCTGCTCATACACAGGACACATCTTAGCAGAAACCTGTACCGTCTGGGGCCATCTGGAAGAGAATGGGGTTCCAGTGGAGTCTGGGTCCTAGCGATGCGTGATATATCAGTTAGTGTATCGATGGGCCATATTCATAAATCATCAAGATGTCTGTAGCAGTCTGACATGCTGATCTTGGCCATTATTCACACTGCATCAATTTTCAAACTTAACGGCACCAGAGCTAAAGGCACAACTACAGCAATAATGGAGATGACTGACTAGACAATCAGCCACTTTCCGTAGTTTCACCAGCTCATCCGGCACTTAGAAGAGGTCGCAAAGTACTGGCCCGCAAGGTTTTGTTACGACACGTTATTAATTTGTTACTAAATCTGCTCTGCAGCTGAATCTTTCTTTTTCCACAACAAATTGTATAACGTCATTTCGCTAATCTTTCACTTCAGGATCAGAATTTAGGTAGGCCTCAGTATTGGTTAGAGCTGCACAGTGCTGGAAAAGAATTTACATAGCAATGCTTAAAATTTCTACAATAAATATCATAATATTTATAAAATAGTTTTGGTCAAATAAGTTGATGATGTTCCTACAAGTTGCTTTTGCTCAACATCGTTTCTATGGAATTAAAAATATTTCCATACAGCAGAAGTTGAATGTCTGTAGGTGAACAGGTCTCATTCTTACACTCATTCTCTGGGCACGTTCACTTTTCTCATTCTTACAATTTTTGTTAAATTACTCAAACATGCCACACTCACAATAAATGAGTAGCAAGAACAAAAATAATTGGATTGGACATCGATGCAGAGCTCATGCAAAAGCAGTGGGGGTACACTTTACACTGATGTTTTTTTAATAAATATTGGATATTACTGAAATTGCAAAGCTTACTAAGTGTTGTTTCCTGTGACTGAATATAAATATCAAACTACTGATTCTGCCCAAAGTTTCTCTCACTTTTTCTTTTTTCTCCTTATCACCGTCACCTCAGGCTGGCTCTCTGGTGACTTCAGACCTCGGTCTCTGTACTCGGTCCCTTGACAAAATGCTGTTTGTCAAGAGCACTATATAAATAAAGCCGAACTGAACTTTACACGTCGGTAGGACTGTGTTCAGAGATCACACTGCCTAAAATAAGCCGTACAGCCACCAACATTCACTAAGGAGGGGTCATCTGACGGCTGAACCGACAGTGACACCAAATAACTTACATAACAAAGTACAAGTTCATGTAACTGAAGCTCTGTTGACCATCTAGAAGTTATGACGACATTTGCAAACACAGGATTGTGGCTGCAGGGTAACAACCCCTGGAGAGCAACCTCTCTGTACCTCACTTCATTAGCTGTGTGCAAGATACCCAACACCAAATAAAAATCCACCATGTTTTCTGTGTGTTTAGAATACTGTGGTATTGACTTAGCTGACGAAGCCACTACAGCAACTTACCGAATCCTCCGGAGGTCTGTGAATCTTCGGCCAGTCCACAGAAGGGCCTTTGGCTTGCAGGAATCTGTGGAATATCTTCTTAAAGCCCTCAAAGTCCTTTCTGGCAAGCTAAAAAAAAAAATGGGACAAGGAAGTAAAGCAAAGCCCAGATATGACCAGAGAGGTGAAAACGGGTACACAAGCTGAAGGTATCTATAGAGCTTCACAGACCATTCATAATGCATAATAAACATGGCTATTATGTGTTCATAATGCTTTATGAATGCAATATAATGCATTATGAATGTATCTATAATGCATTATATTATAATGACTGCTTTAAGTGTTACCGTATATTTTTTATATCAGCATCAATCAAGACGCAGACACTGCAGATGACAGGGCCTTTCGTACAGCATGGAGACTGAAGAGAGGGTCTGAGAACACCTGCTAACCTAGCCGCAGAGCACTTTCCAATAAACTGCATTAATTCAGTCTGCTCCACATCTAGCTTCAAACAGCGTACATATTTGTTTTTCTCAGCTGCCCCTCTATTTCAGTAAAATCAATATTTATTGCTAATACTTTTCCCCCCCCTGCAATAAACTTTTCAAACCAATGACAATAAAAAGCATTGAGCCTAAGCAGAGTCTAGCTGACAGTTTCCCGTTGTGAAGAACACACAGCTTATAACTATTTTTGTCTTTGGCAAATCGCCTTTGATCTGACAGCTGTACGATCTTCACACAGCAAAGCATTTCCACTGAGAACATTTTAATCCCCTCCTGTTTGTTCCCAATATTAAGACACGAACATTCGTCTTTTGACTTTTCCAGTTATGAAGTTGCCCCTCAGTTGAGTGCATAATTATCTTCACCGGGATTATCATTTTTTTTTAATCCTCCACAAGTTCCAAAAACCATTTAATTGCACTGGCATCTGTTCCCTCCAAAGGGGTTGGGCTGTAGAGCCAAAGAGCGTGGCAGAGAGTCTGCATTGTACCCAGCGGTACTCTCATGCGGCACTTTGCGGTACTTTACATATATGTCGCTTCGAAGCTCTTAAACCGCATTCAGATTTGCGAATGCATGGTCATATGATACAGGCACAAAGAGGCCAAACTTGCTAGTCTTGTTTTAAAGAACAGATCCTGTTTCATTTGCGGTTCTGGGAATGAATAGCAGTTTTTGTTCTTCCGAAGTGTAAAACTGTAACAGGTAACGTACAACATCCAGAACCTAAAAGGCGGCGGCGGGGGGGGGGGCGGGGGAATCACAGGCAGCACAAGGCAGGAACCCCAGTGACGGGATGCACACTCACAGTCATACGGTAAAGGCAATTTGAAGATGCCAGTTGGCCTAAAACATACAGTTTTGGGTTTTTTGGAGAAAGCACACGTGACGAGGAGAGAACATGCAGGCGCTGCTCTCTCAGTGCAGGAGCAGAACCCTCAGGCCTGGAGGTGTGGAGAAACCACTGAACCAAAACTCAAACAGTGAAACTAAATCAACTTGCCCTACATCTTTCCAGCAACTGAGATGATGTCAACTTTGCAAAACAGGGAATTGGATGGATGAAAAAAAAGTTTATTTCATATTGGCATGATTCTTTCATTCCATGTGATTCAGGCTACAAACAGACTGGTTCTCATTTGTATTGAGAACATAAAAAAAAAAAATCTTTCATATATAAAAGATGAATTTCGACTGAAATTAAAAACTACGCATTCATTCCATCTCTTTGAAGTTTTTGGCCTATGCGGCTCTGCGGGGGTCACCCGTCCGTTGTCGTGCCCCCCCCCTCCCCTCCCCTCCCCCTTGGAGAGCTGAGCTCACTTCCGCCTGGGCACCCTTGGTCGTGCCCAGCAGCTTCTCCAGCTCCGTGTGCATGGATGCTTCCAGCTCCTTCCGCATCACCTCCTGAAACTCTGCCATTCCGCTGTTGGGGGCCCTGCTGGTTAAACCTGCGGAAGAGGGCAAAAACGCTCAGGCAAGCATCTAGTTCATTAACAAAACAGCAAGAGACGTAAAGAAAAGAAAACCCCCACGCGACGATCACACTGCTCTGCCGCTTCGCAATCCTCTGCTTTTCCTCTACAACTTGAGATAGCACTGATTTTCATTGGATTTTTTTTAATACACTGCAGCAGGGGCGCCGCCAGAAATCTTGGGCCCCATGAAAGATTACAATTTTGCCCCCCCCCTTTTTGCGAAAAGGTAAAGCCCCTAACAGGGCCCCATGTCAGTGCTGGGCCCCTAGAATTGTTCTAACCTTCCCCCCCTGGCGGTGCCCCTGCACTGCAGTACAATACTATTACATCAAACTAGAAACGCCACTCTTCGTATAAAAACCACCTGTAAGCTCCTTGTTAGATAGTTATCAGCACATACTGATAAAGTGATGTTGTAAGTTTTGAAAAGACTTTTCATACATTAGGCTAAAGGACAAATTTAGACACAAAAACAAACACGCAAACATTTAAACCTGAAGTTGTATTTAAGAGAATATGATCAAACAGGAAACTTTGAAATAATGCAGGGAGGTAGAATCAATACATCACTTATGGACTATAACACTCTGTTAGGTGTTTGCAGTTTGTCTCCTGCCAGTCTCCCCAACTTCACAGTTGATTCCACTATAACAACAAATTTAAATAATATGAAACTCCCTCTTACGCCACTGCCCGTGGCCTTGGTCTCTTAGTCTAAGAAATGTGACACTTGTTGCTCAGCATCCGATTATACATCATTGAGCATTTTCATGTACTGCTGATAGCTGATGTTTGCCGATAAACAGTTCCTGTGGCCACACTACCGTTTGGATCCACTTCTTGTTGGCGGTCAGGATGTAGGCGTACGTACTACTGCAACCTTAAGTTAACTGCAGAAGCTCTTCTAGGAAGTTTCTGCAGTCGAGGTACCCAGAAAACAGCTGTGGTAAAAACGACTTTATTAAGCAGGCTTAGTCTTCGCCAAATAGTAAACTAGTTTACAAAGATTTTGACATGTTGGGGGGTCTTTGAGTTACAAACGTACGCAAGTTTTTTTTTCGGGAAAAAAGTATGGATACACATGCATGCAAATTAGTAAAAACAAAGACCAGTAAATAACATTTATATACAAACAAGGCCGTGTCAATGTCAGAAAAAAAGATTTTCCAAACTAATAACTTCCCAAGAATTTCATCAAAGTCTGCAATGTGCCAGTAGTACTAATATGCATCGTTTTTTTTTTCTTTTTTGATGGACAAAACGACGACGTACTGTAACATGACTTGCAACGGTGAACATACACTGCAATTTCCTCCAGTTAATTAACTGCAGCGGCACGATCACTGACAAGACGGATGAAAAAAGAGGAATCGTCAGGAAACTGTCCCGCAGACAGATATGGCTTTTTGATTAAGTGCTTATAATGTCGTTTAATTTGTTTTACCACATTAAGAAATGACAGAACCCTTATATGAATAATGAGAAAGTGATTGAAATGTCGCCTATACATTCAGTTTCTTTAAGTGTCTTCCCTTGTCTAACAAAACGTAGCTTCCACGTTGTGAGTTAATCCAGTATATTTCACACACAATCTAAATAATCTTTACATTTGTTTCTGAAATCTGTTGTCAACGACCTGCTTGGACACTTACCTTCAACGTATAACGACATCTCTCCTTTATCTTAATATTTTGAAATGATTATCACAAAAGTAATTTCTTAAGATCCGCCGTTACGTCGCTCCGATAAAGTCAGATTAAATTTTCTAAATCCCCGATCTGTACTATAGAAGTTCAATTACGCGTGAAAACTGTTTTCGCTTATGGAAGTAATAGGTATACAGATTAAATCGCTCTTTAATAGATTCAGCTTGTGAATTCCCGTGGCATGATTATAAAATCCTTTTAAATGAACCAAATCTTCTCCCCTCCCACTTCAAGTAGGGGAAAAAAAACTAAAAACGCCCAAATGTTGAGACCCCTGACTGGTTTAATCCTCTTTATCGGGAAGAAGTCGCCTGTACCTTATGAATACTTCAACGCTTATGAACCAACATAAATGATTAATTTGGGGCGTATTTACAGGGGAAAAACAGCCCTGATCCGCTATCTGATAAATAAACCACGGGACGCATCTTAGGTTGGCTCAAACACGCCAGCCAATACAATCCCCTTTCCTTTGTAATATATTATACGTTGACCCCCTTAGTTTCCTAATTCATACCAAATCCAGCCCCTTATTGTGAGGGACACCTCCACGCACAGGCAAGGACTATATATGTAGGCACCTTGCTCATGCTACAAGGTTTGTGCCTGTGGCAGGCATATGCACACGACAGATGCAAGAATGACTCTTATTTCGCCCCATGCATGATACCAACTTAAATGCTAAACAGCAATGGGACCACTAGCAGCTAACGGTCAGCATAGGTCCGTGTTTGCTTAATCTTTATCTGAGAAGAAGCGTATGCAAGCTGGCGGGAGGGAAGGAGGGAGGGAGTGAGTGGCGGTCACGGTGCATTCACATCGCCATTCAAGCAAAATGTTCACCACTGCTCTGGATCAGCCATTACCCACCTTTCAACAACTATTTTGCTTTCCTCAACACTGCTCCAACGATAAGGTGCTTAAAGCACTATAGCGAGATTACTACGTGCACCCGTGATTAGGGCAAAACTCAAAAGCTATTAAAAGCCACAACGGCACATCGTCAGAATAACTCGCCAACACCACGTTTACTTACAACGGGCTCCGTTCTGAAGCCTGTCTGCTGTTACTTAAATAGCCAATTCGTTGCCGGAAGTGTTGCGCACGTGTGTAGAACAGCGAATCGCTATTGGGCAACTAAATTGGCCATTCACAGCAGAACAAAACGAGTTTTGTTCAATCTGAATCGCACTGTCGGTGTCCAACCAATGGCAGTTTCCAAACGTGGCCGGAATTGGTTTAATATGCGTCCGTCGCGGGACGTGGGAGGAAGAGCGGTGTGGCGGTGGGCGAAATGGATTGGGAGGCGGGTCGTTTGATTCAGTTCGCCTAAAAATGTTTTTCTGATTCCTTAACCATCTCGTTCTGAATCACTTGTGTTCTAATATCATTTAGGCTAAATAACGTTAAGGAGTAAGCTAAATATCACGAATACGTCATGTGAGAAAACAGTATTGTTATTGAATTATAGTCTACTAGGTGGCAGGGAGGCGCAGTGGTTAGCGCTGTTGCCTCACACCCCTGGGACTCGGGTTAAAGTGTCCGCCGTGGATTCCTATGTCGTCGTGGGGTTTTCTCCGTGTAGATGGAATCATAGTCTAGCCCTCTGAACAGTGTCCATTACCTACTCGTGTTTGTTGAAAACGCAACCTACTGTAGCAGCTCATCACATAGTTAGCAAACCGTGGCTAAAATCATTTTAAATAGTGCAAAAATGTTGCATCTCTTAAATCCAACTGCAGGATACGGGAAGTCACTACACATGTAGGCTATATGCTACACCACTAGATGGATAATTTCAGTTATGACCGAGACAGAGAGCCAATCTCGTTCACCTCGTTCACCAACTCGTTCACTCCTTCTGGTCTCTCGTTCTCCTTCTAGGGTGCGTTTCCCAAAACCTGCGGATAGCAGCTGACATTCTTGGGCTCTTTCAGTTGCATGATATAAATATATTTTAAATGTATAAATACATTGAGTAATTTAAATGATACACGTGCACACATATCATAGGTCAAAACATTGCAAAATTTGGCTGAATTATAAACGTCACATATGGTTCTAAATGGAGAGCCATTTGGGAGCCAAAAAGAGCAGGCCCCTGTTTCTGAAATGAACCAAATGATCTAACTTACTAAAAAGACCCGGAATTCCCATCACTAAACTAGAGACTTATGCGAAAGTTACCCATGTTATAGAAAAGCCCCCTTTCCTATCCGCAGCAAATGTGTCTAAATATACTGGTACAATCCTGCATTTTGAAAGATGGTTTTAGTTCGCTGGTATCTTTTGGCTCTCGGGTTTCTTTTATTATGAAGAGTGATGTGAGATGCAGCCTGGGTCCATTGTTGTTCACTATCGATGGCAGACTGTACCTCATCCACCATTGAGTCAGCCACAGGTTGATTTAATAGTAAAGTAAAGGCCATGGGACGTCATTTTCTGAAATGGGCAGGCCCTAACTGACCTTCTTCCTTTGAAGTGTTTTCAGGAATGGGTGTGTGGACTATAGGTCAGTGGTCACCAACCCTGTTCCTGCAGATCTACCACCCTGCAGAACTTAGGTGCAGCCCTAAATGAATGAACACACCTGATACATTTAAGCAGGCCCTTCAATAGCATCACAGTATTAGTGCCAACTTAGTTTCAACATAGCTGGCTCCAATACTTATCTGTATCAGGTGTAAATTAGGGTGGCACCTAAGCTCTGTGCTAGAGCACCAGGAGCACAGTCATTGGCCACTGCTGTAGGTGCTTAATGCAATGCCATTGGTGAGCTATCTGTCAATGGAAACACTTGAAATATAAAACTACACAGGGCACAAAGGTACACTTTGGACAAGAAATTGGTCCATCGCAGGACACATACTCATACTCATAACTTCTTCTGAAGGATAATATATTATTCGTGGCATATCTAACAGAAATATAATGTGCTGTAGCAGTAATACTGCTATGTTAGCAAGTTTTTAAATTTTTTTTTTGACTTTCAGACAGTGGTCTCCCCCGTGTGGTGAGTTGTTGTCATTACGCCATAATTCATGGAGTGCCCTGTCTATTGACTTACCAAAACTGTTCAGGGCACCTGACCAAGGTTCCAATGGGAGAATTTATGTAAGCTAAGCTGTAAACATACTACCCAAATATTGCAAAACATTCAGATCACAAAAACAGCCACAATTCTCAAAACAATTTACATTTTTTTAATTATTGGATTTAACAGGCAACCTTTATGGTAACAAAGACAACTAGCAAATAATGACAGCTAAAACACTCCTTTGTCTGTCAACAAAGGCCGGCTGGCTTCTTACTCGTTTACAATATTACTAGTAAAATCTGATGAATGAGACACGCGGAGTGACATCAGAGGTCTGTCACAGACGAGAGCCGATAGATTCATGGGTGTCGGATCGCTGCCGCGTCCCCAGTCACGCTCTCAGGAAGGAGATGGCCGTGTCCCGCTCATCCACCAGCTCGGCGGCTGTGGCGTCCATCTTACCACGGGAGAAGTCATTGATCGTGAGGTTATTCACGATCTTCCACGTCTTGTTCTGTGGGGAGTAGGCCAGAGGGACATCCAATCAGAATTTAGCATGCCCTACCAACTTTTTGACTACACATACAGAATCAGAAGAGCACTGTAGCTTCCCCAAGGCACAGAAACATCAATATCACACATGAGAAAGACCAGTGAGCAGCGTGTGCATAGCACAAGAAAGTGTGGTCTCATGCCAAGGTGCCATACCTTGATTGTGACCGGGAATGAATACATTAGGTCATCACTGACTCCATATGAATTCCCGGAGGAGTAAACACCCATGGAGACGAACTCTCCCTACAGCGGACAAGAAGGGGTGAAAGGTCAAGCCATGTTTCAAACAAACAGACTGAAATGAGTCTCTGCTTCATTCTGCAGGCGAGGAGGAGACTGGCGGTGCTGCTCTGCAATGGCTCCGTACAGCTGTTTGCTGGAACTAAAGGCCCTCGATTGTCTCTCTGATGCATGTGCTAGTTTTATTTTTTTAACACGGGAACCTGTTACCCTCAAAAAGGGCTCTGATGCAGAGCCATGTTGTCAAACACAGGAACTGGAGGTGTTCTAAGGCCACCTGACCACCCACCACCAGCTGGGTAAATGTCACCGGCTCCAAAGCTCGTTCTGATTGAACCCATGGATGCTGGGTGACAGTCCCCACCCTCCCGCCCTGTTCCCGGCTCGCACCTCAGGAGTGCCGAACCAGATGTCCTTCATGTGGTCACAGATGGCCTTGGCCGCTGACATGGCGCTGGACAGCTTCCTGGCTTTGATGACGGCCGCTCCGCGCTGCTGCACGGTCTGGGGGGGAGGGGGGGCATCAGGAGTGCACACACACACACACACACACACACACACACACACCTGGGTCTGTGGCACCATATATTCAGCATAACATGAGATAAGAAGCAGGATCATTAACTATGGTGAGCTCTCAGGTCTCCTCTACGTTAAATATTAGTCTATTTCAATATTAGTCTAAATACTAGAACTCGTGGCCATAAGTGGAAATTAGCGGGAGAACATTTTAAAACAAATTTGAGGAAGCACTTCTTTA